AGTTGGGGGGGCCATTCACTGGTGGGGACTGCCATAGGCATTCATGTGAAGAAGCATATGTGAGCAAAAGAGGCAAGGGTGAGAAGGAAAAAGGAAGCAAATATATCCAAAGGATCCTGATGGCAGAGAGAAACAAAAGTAATCCAGTTACCCTCGTGCCCACGTTTGCCTGTTGACTGATGAAGGATGGTTTACATTTTTAATTTCCTGATGGTTTGATCTTAGCATTTATTTTATTTTCTCTTTAAAAATACATGCATGAACCTTTCCCACAAATAGGTAGATTCTTGAAGTAAGAGGACTTGGTTTTGTGTTCTGTGAGTTTGACTTTGTGATTTGGGGATGCTGGGCAAAGCCTGTTTCTGAGCCTTAGTGCAAAGCAGGTAGCGTTACTCTGTACATCCTTGACAAAGCTGTTGTATCTGACAGCCTTCTGTAAACTGGAATGCTGTGCAAATAACAATTAAATTAACTCTCAGACTTATTGCAATATAGGGAGCCCTCCTTCCTATTTTAGGAGCAATTGTGATGATACTCCAGTGCTTAAGTGAGAGAAATCACAGGAGAAGAAAATTTCAAGAAAATTATTTTAAAGTTTGTGTTTTTTTGTTTTGGTTTTGAAAGTCAAGGAGTGAGAGAGTGTGTCCTCCCATCTGCTAATGCACTCGCAAATGCCCACAAAAGCTGTGTCTGTGCCGGGCTAAAGCTGGAAACTAGGAACCCAATCCCGGTCTCCCATGTGGGTGACAGGAGCCCAACCACCTGAGTCAGAGCTGCTGCCCCCAGCATTTGCTTTAGCAGGAAGCTGGAGCCCGGGGCTGACTCCAGGCGTGGAACAGGCACCCCAACCAGTATCTTAACACTACACCAGGCCGGCACCGCGGCTCACTGGGCTAATCCTCCGCCTGTGGCGCTGGCACCCCAAGTTCTAGTCCCAGTTGGGGCGCCGGATTCTGTCCCGGTTGCCCCTCTTCCAGGCCAGCTCTCTGCTGTGGCCCAGGAGTGCAGTGGAGGATGGCCCAGGTGCTTGGGCCCTGCACCCCATGGGAGACCAGGAGAAGCACCTGGCTCCTGGCTTTGGATTGGCCCAGCGCTGGCCATGGCAGCCATTTGAGGGGTCAACCAACGGAAAAGGAAGACCTTTCTCTCTGTGTCATTCTCTCAGTAACTCTGCCAGTCAAAAAAAAAAAATAAAAATAAAAACAAAAACAAAAACAGAAAAAAACTACACCAAACACCTGACTCAAAATAATTTTTAAGAGTTTAAGTTAAAAACATGATATTTCTTAACATGCAAATAATAGGTAATATGGCACTTGAATGCTTGCGTGTAACTCTATATGTAAGTGGCATATTCATAATATAAAGGAGAATCTGTCATTTTAAAAACTATTTTCAGAAATTAAATATGTGATAGATAAATGCTGCCTCCCACTCCATACACAGTGAAGCAGCAATTATGTAATTGTGTCGGATTTTACTTTATTCACTCATTAATGAGCCAGATGTATTGTAAATATTGGAATTTTGCCACTTGGTCTGAAGCATTTCTAATTTTGAGTTTCTGTGGGATCTTTACTCTTTTCAGAGAAATGCAGCTAGTGCTGCCTGTCCATTATTAAAGAGATCATTTCTTCAGGAACTATGGATGGAAACAATTTGAAACTGTAGCGATCACTAGGCCACAGGCGGGAGATTGGCTCGAAGCTGTGGCTTTTGCACAGACGCAGGTGCAGGGCTCAAGTGGGAGAGGGAACCTGCTTTGGTATCCCTCGCCCTGCCCCAGCTAGCCAGAGTCAAAGTCTTGGTGGGAACCCAGGGCGTAGGATTTACAGCCCAGTATTCCTTCCATTGTATCGGTAAGATGAACCATTCTGTTGTGTATTTCTGCTCTATAATTGTGGGTACTCATTACATTGTCTAGAAGGCTGAAGTGCCCAGTCATGCAGATGGACCACGTTCTGAGGAGAGTAAGAACTGTAAAATGCCTTGCCCTGTAATCTCATAATTACTACTGATCTGTGCATGTGTCTCTGGAAAATTGACTTTCCTTTCAAGATTTTACTTTATCTCTTCAGTAGGATTTTTCCTACTATCTACGATTACTTCACAGATGAAATGGGAGAGAGAGAGAGAGAGAGAGAGAGAGAGAGAGAGAGAGAGAGAGAGAATACTCTACAAACAGTAGAGACTTTGGGATCCAGAAGATTTGATTTGACATCATATTGGCCAAATCATGATATTTCACCAAGGTTTGGTTCTGTAAATGGTAAAACTGATGTAGCCACATTTAAATGAGAAGGTTATTGCCAGAAGTGTTAGATGCCACCAGTGAAGGAACCCAGACCCAGCTTAGCCTTTAGCCTTCAAGCTAGTAGCTGCCATTCTCATTTGCTTACTGATAATTAAGTTAGGGAGTTGTAGGGAAAAGTCTTCATTCAAGACCTCAATTCTGCCCATTAGATTTTGTGCTATCTCAGACAGGTCCTATTGTTCTTAGGTCTATTTTTGGTGATACAGAAAACAAATACAGTAACCTCCCGTTACTCTTGAGTTGGTTGCTATAATTAAATAAGAGAATATAGGTAAAAACATCTAGTCCCTGGGTCCACAGACTGCCGGGTGAGTATTTTCAAGTCTGAATTTAAAGGATATTCCTCATCCAAATTACAAGTGTTTAGTAGTATCTTTATTCACCCACAGGTGACAACCCTAGTTTAGATATGTTGCTGATTTTCCACCTTTCAAATAACTTGGTTTTAGAGAAGTTCATCATTCTTCTGTAGGGCATATAAAAATCAGGTACTTGGCGGGGGGGGGAGAAAAAAGTAGCTCTGTGTATCTTTATGCTAGTTAATAAAGAGGCCAGGAATGTTCTGCAGGTTTCAGAAATCTGGCGGCTGTTTCTTTAACTCTGCAACTTAGACAGAAGACTTCTGTTTCTTTATGAGCACACTACAGTGAATATTTTGTCTAGCTGCAGGGGAAAAGCTTTGTCATGGGCTTGGCAGACAATAGCCTTAAAAGTAAAATGGTCTGCTTTTGGTGCTGGGAGGTTCAGGGGCCTATTGTTAGTGCACAATGGATTTCTATTGCTGCATTCCTGCTTTGCAAAGGTTTGTTAGCTTTTAATGACTGACAGTGCTCTATTGCAAATACCATATTGGCTGTGCCCTGTTTACATGCTACTCAAGAATTTTTGTAGAGTGCTGGAAAAAAGAAACAGTGATGTTTGTTTGACCCACTCTGATAAGGTTTAAGAAATGATTTCACTCACAGAGTGTTTACTGGGAATGTTGAAAGATTGGAAATCCTTGCACAAGTATTTCAAAGTTACTTTTAAAGCCTCACTGAGCAGAAATATTGATTACGGTATGAAGATATTTACTCTGTTTTATTGCTCATAGGATTGCTGGGACCATTTTCAAAACAGCATGATACATACATGGGGATATTTTAAGGAAAGTAGAAGTAAAAATGTGTGAGATCCCTTTTTCCTTAAATGTGAAAATTAGAGATAAATGTTGTCACAAAGAAAAAAAAACATATTTCACACATTCCATAGGTAAATCTGCAGGCAGTGGCTGCGGTCTGTGTATGTGTATTTGTGCCATATGTATAGACTTTGTAACACAGCAGTCATTCACTGCTTTTCCCCATTTGATTTCCCCTAAGTTTTTGACATCTGAGAAAGCAGTGCTCCATATTGTTACAATTTTTCTAAGGCAAATTGCACCTCTGCTTTGTGGCAAACTTCACGTGGGCTTTGTGATTTTGATAGGTGAAGGCTGTTAAGATGAAACGTTGAGGAAGAAAAAATAAGATAGTGTTAGCCAAAGTTGTAGATGAAGAAATGAATGTTACTGTGGGGAGAATTAACCAGTTTCTAATAAACTTCTGGTCTCGAGGACAGAAGGTTCCTTTGATAAGTTAACATGTACTCTCTTTATGCTCCTAGTAGGGGGTAAAAAAACGCCTGAACAAACACGAATACACACAAACACCATTTCTGAGAGTGGCAATGTATGTCTTAGATGCAGATAATAAGTGCGGGTATTGTTATTTAGATGACACATACTGGGACACTTATCTTTTACTGCACTCCATTTTCTATCTGAATGCAGTGCTAATCGTGGAATTGCAAGCCATTGTAATTGTGTACCCATCTAAAGGCTGAGAAGAATATACAATTACATTGTTTGGAACTGGGTTTAATGTTTAGGGATTTTATTAGCATTTGTATTTACTTATACATTAAAATTCAATATAAAAGGAGAGGTCAAAAACCATGTGATATATGGAAGCAAATATCTTTCTCTCTAAAATCTGTGTGTCAAGTCCCCAGTACAGGGGATTTTAAAAAGAATGTGATACAAATCTAAAATAAGCAAATAATAGGTTTCCCTTATAGGCGTTACTCCTCTAGATTTTGCATTCTTTTTTAAAGCTGCTTTTATACCAACTTTTTTTTTGTATAATGTTCATGGTACTGGCAACTCTTGCCACAGCGTGCTTACCACCACACGATGTTAAACACGTATTATAAAGTGGATGTAATTGTAAACACACAGAGGGATATAATTACATGTAGCAGATTTAAGAGCTAATTCTTTGCCTTTTTTTAACTCTGCATTTTATCAACATAATTATTTTTTGACTGCAGACTAACACCCTGAAATTGACAAGCATCCATTATAGCAAGAATTTGTTCACCAAATTGAAAAACAATGAACTGCAGGTTTATATGCACCCATTGTCATAAAGAATTAGTATGGCTTTGTTCCGCAAGAGGAAAAAGCTAATGATTTTGAAACAGCAGGTGACAAAACACATTCTTTTTTTTTCCCTCCCCTGTTATCAGTTTGTTGATGAAGTCATTATGAACTGGGGCCAGGATAGAGATGGCCTTATTTTTAGCAGATAGACTTTTAATGAGCTCCTTTGTAAAGACAGTCATGTTGATATGCTTACTTTCTTTTTTTTTTTTTTTCTTTACCCAGAAACCCCCAGTATTGAAAAGCTACTCTCAAAGGACTGGAAAGACAAGCTTCTTGCAATGGGATCAGGGAACTTTGGCGAAATAAAAGGTAATATATGGGTCATTATTTTGACAAAAAATGTATCAAAACAAAATTGATATTAGAAATGTGAATGATAATACCATCCATTTGCCCCTTCCTTCTTCTGCTTAGTGTTTTTCTCTTGGATGTCCCGTTGTTCAAGCCTGCAAGAAGTGTCGGCTTGTTTCTCTCCTGGTTTGTGCCTGGGCCTCACAGGGTCAGTGTCGTGTTGTTTTTAGCAGAATAACCCCACAATCCGTTCAGCATGCTTTTGACTCTCATTGTTTTCTTTTTAATTACTTATCTCATAAGTCTGAAAGTACCTACAACAAAGTTTAAGTAACTGCATCTTGAAAGATGATTTTGCACAGTGGACATTTTGAAATTATCCACGTGCATTTCCTACATGTAAAAACCAGAAATTATTATTGGAAAGGGCATAATCCAGGATTGTTTTGTACCACTAAGGGCATTTTTGCTTTGATTTTACCTGAATTAGCAATTAGATACAACTAAGGAAAAGTGTATATGGACTAAAGAAGACATTGGATATTTCTATCAGTATATTTGTTGTACTACATAGAGAGAACATTTCATTTCCTCATATAAAAATAGAAGCAAATGATCATCTTAATTAATTTAAGTGTGTTTTCTTAGAGTGCGGTGGGTGATCCATGAGTTTTCTTTTTGTGGCCAATAGGTTGTTTAATGATTCTAAGTTTGAAAGTAGGATTAATTTTGAGAAAGTCAGGACACTTTTGTCATCAATATTGAAATGTTTAGTTACACATTATTGTGTATATTTTTAGTAGATTCTTAATTTATATACAAATAATACCAAATTTATATTAATATCCATGTAGAAATATCTGTAAATAACTTTTTTGCCTATGTTTGTGCAAGTGTTCTCCCAGTAAGAGAGGTGATAGTCTCTACTACGTTAGAATATCTGAGAAAAAAGCAAAGCCTCAGTCTCCTCCAGTATTTCACCTACATGGCAGTAGCACCCAGATATTTGGAAACTTCCAGAAAACATTTGGCTGAATGGTTCATTTCTCATCCAGATCACCCTGGAATTGCACGTATGAGAGTTCTTCAAAAAGTTCGTGCCAAATAAGTGTTATTGAAAAATGATGCATGCATCTCAAACTTCTTTGCACCAAAATAAACGTATCTGGGAATCCCATTTTCCACCAACTTTTTGCAGTACTCTCTTTTGCAGGCTGTGGATAATGTGAGAACGAGTGGGGGCCAGTCAACAAATTCCCTCAGCAGAATCTGTTGGTAGCAAAGTCAAATGAATAATAACCAGTGTGCCTTAAAGAGCTGGAAGACAAAGTTTAAGGAGAATGGAGAAGGGGCACTTTGGGAGACCACAGGCCCTTTCTACTAGTTTGAGGGTTTTAAGCCCATTTGCACCTGAGGCATAGGATGTATTCTCCAAGGTCCTTTATTCTCCCTGACCCAGGTAATAACTGAGAGTGGAGCCTTGAAGACTGCCTGTTGCAAGCCTTGTGATCTGATTCCATTGGAGGACAAACATTTTTTTTCCCTCCCTCGTTTTCCTTCACAAGTCAAACTTAAAAGCAGCAACAACAGCGATGATAAGCTTAGAGGAAAGAAGCTCATCTGTCCTTTCAGGCTTGCCTGGGGGTAGTTTAGGAAGCTACAGTACCTTCACAAAAGAAGTTTCTGTCTTTAATTTTGAGTTTTTTAAGTTTCACATTCAGAGCACAAGTTTGGTTATTGTCCTCTGGTTCTGTTCAAAAAACTGTTTTCTGATGCATTTTAAAAGCAACTGCAGAGCTTTCTTCTGCTGGGGGCATGGTTATTAGGTGCTGGGCTCAGGTTTGGCAGTAAACTGGGAAAATAGTGCTGGCTTACTTTTCCTGCTGACTGCCCGGGACAGTTGCAATTACTCTGCATTGTTCAGAGGTGGCTGGAAGGTGGAGAGGCTACAATAGTAAGCTGCCCTCTGGGGGTAAATGTATTTGACTTAGAGGTTCTTGGAGGGTCAGGCACAAAGGTTAGGCAGTGCCCAGGAATGTGGTTCTTATACCACCTCCGAAGAAGTCAGACCAGAACAATGCCTGGGTTGTTTTCACAGCTACTTGTTAGGAGGCACATAAAGGTGTAGTCTCAGGGACTCCTGTGTTGTTTTTTTTTTGCTGGAAGGAGGACTTGTGTCAGCATTTTCTCTGAGAAGTCTGAAAATGTGAAGTTATGCATGATGATGATGATTAGAGGATTTATTAGTGGTAAATTAAATGAACATACTTAAGTAGTGTTTTTGCACAGTTTGGTGAGTTCATGTACTTTGTAGCGTTTACTGGGTCTTCTGGCAGATAGAAACTGTGCTCCATTGTCACTGGTCAGTTTTCATCTAATTTTTAATTAGTTTTGTGCATGCCTTTCTTGAATGTGTGAATTGTAGCCAAGTAACACTGGAGTCACTTCTTAAGTGCTGATTTTAAGTTACAGTCAGTGAATTACGTTCAGAGGGCATTTTGACAAAAACAGAATCGTAACTTTCAAAAGTTTAGAGAGGCATCACATTAATATTTAAAAAGTAAAAATGATAAACACTTAAGTTGGGAATAAATAGCTTTTGATGTGGGTAGTTTAGCGATCAAGGAATAGTTGTCACACTCACTTAAAATCAATCCCTTTTTTTTTTTTTAAACAATGAGAGATAGTAAAGGTCATCTACTTCTAAGGGCATCAAATTATGTTTCATGTTAGATGATGTTGCCTGGTAGAATTCATACCATTTTATGCTCTGGTTCTTTGGAAATGTGAAGTAATGAGGTTTTAAAGTTACATTAGAAGCGGTCTTCTAAAGATCACACAAGAAAGGACATGAGATCCAGGTTCTGCAGAACAAAACAGCTGGAGTAAAAATGTCTGCCCGCAGCGAACTGTCGATACATGCTATAAACTGATTAGCTGCCTGAAAGAGTTGTTTGTTTCTTCTGTTCTCATCAGCCATATAGTGGAACTGGTGGGATTATGAGCTTTTCTGTGCTTGTCTGTAGGAGAGGCAGTGGGTAATGGTGGTGGGAGATGTGAAGAAATATCTTTGGTAGCTTCCTAGTGCCACACACACTGCTTCGGCCGGCGTGAAATTCCATCACACTGAAAGGCACTTCACCTGGGGATGGTACCCGGGAATGCATGACAGCGTGGACTAACCTAAACAGATCACTCACTTTTTAAAAAGTCATTGCAAAATCCGTATTTTGCTGACTTAAAGCATATTTTTAGAATTAGAATATATTTATCTGCCTGTGAAATTTTCTCAAATATTTCTGCGTTGGTGAGGTTATAAAAAAGCAGGGAATTTTAAAAGATGGTTCTCTAGGCAGGTCACTCTCAAGCTGCCTGCTTAAATGCCTTCTTTGAAGATGTATTTTATTTTATTATGTTTTCTTTGAGATAGAAAAACAGAGAGAGAATAGCTCCCATCCACTGGTTCATTCCCCTACATACCTGCAACATCTGGGATTGGGCCTGGCTGATGCCGGAAGACATCCAGACCTCACATGGGTGGCAGGAACTTCGTTTCTTGAGATACCTCTGCTGCTTCCCAAGATGCACGTTAGCGGGAAGCTGGATTATGGAGCTGGAGCTGCTTCCTGAGCCCTGGTGCTCCAGCATGCTTCATGTCTTAACCAGCGAGACCAAACACCGCCCCCAAGACTTGCTTTAGAGCCTGGGTTGTTTGCGCTTGCTGCCTCTTGGGGGACCCCCTTCTAGCCCTGGTGACAGTACATTAATTTAAGCACCAAAGTGTTGTAGCTGGTATTCAGGAACACACTCATCTGCATTTGATACAAAAAAAAAAAAAGGTTACAATTTTGTACTTTCTAGAAGATACAATGGCAAACTCTCAACAATTCTGAAACTGCCAATAATGAATTCCAGGAAATAATCCATTCAACAATACTGTAGCATTTACAGAGCCCAGGAATAAAAATCCTAGGCTGTGTGGATTCAACCTGCAGATGAAAGTAGGCAATCTCTTAGGTGACAAGTAAAATTTTGAGATAAAACTGATATATGGGCTCAGTATATGATGAGAAAGAGTCTGTTTAAATGTCGTTCGAAGGTTGAGAAACATGTCAGTTGCCTTGGAGTAGATGTCAGACCCCAGGGAGAAAATCTAGCAAGGGAAACTTGGGATTTTTTTTTTTAAATGTGTAACATGGAAATTAAAATCTCAGCATTTCGATGTTTAAGGAGTCCTATTGCTTTGAGCTTTATTTTAAACCAGTTCTTTTAAAATCCAGTGACTATTTAAGAGTCACAGGGTTCGCTAATAGTGCCTGTGTGACTGTTACATTTGCACATTAACCCAAATCATGCCTGTTTGCACATTTTTTTACAAAGGGGTTGGAAATGTTGATTATTTTCTGAGAGAACTGTTGGATCTGGAATTTGTTCAATGCGAGAGTCAACCATAAGGAAGGTGCATAACATGTAATCATTTACTTCTAAATAAAGTCAATGTTGAATGTTTGTCGTCTACTGAGCGTGTTTTATAACTCCTCTGTAGTTGCTTATGAGTAATGTTTTTACTTTTTGTAAAAACTACTTTGCAAGAACTAAAGAAAGACTGCTGGTGCACAGAATATGAGTTTTCAAAATAAGTTTGGCAATGTCTATAAGAGCAACAAGTTGAGTAGGTGTTTTATAAAGCAGTCAATTGCTCTGTCTCAGGATGCCAGTGGCTTCATGCTGGTGCATAAACACGGCTGTGATGGGAAGAGAACCGGAGGCCACTGGATCTCAGTGGATCTGTATATTGATGTTCCAATCCTTCCAGTCCTGTACCTAGTGTGCACTGATTGCGTGTGCAGCAGTTGCTGAATGACTCCTTTTACACCTCATGTGAAGTACTCAAATTTCCCTTATTTATTGTGGGTTTTATGTGGTATTTGAAAAAAAAAATGCTGTCCTCAACATTTTTCCCATCTAAAAATGTATTCATACGCTATAAAAATACTCACTTTTCGAGATGTGAGAAG